CAGCTCTATGGCTACTCGTGGATTGTATTGGTTTTTATCGTCCTGTTGTTTAAGGTATGTACTAGTATTCTACAAGTTTCTTTGCCAGATTCAGTGTTATCATTTTCCAATCCGTCTGCTAAACATTTATCGCGTCTCCTTGTTACTTCAGCTATTCTGGTATAGCCCCAGGAAGTCGAGCAGCATTCTGCTGGCACTGCGTTTTCTACAGGGAGTGGTTTCACTGACAATCATTGCCCTTATCGCTTTAGCCATTGCGTTGACAAAACTATCGATTCCAGACATGTTTGCATGCTTCCTAGGCTTCATCCCGACCGGTTGGGCAATACTGTCTCTAGCCATCACATGGAAACGGCTGATCAAGATCCTGGGCTTGTGGGAAACAGTTCGCGAGTTTGGACGTATTTATGATGCTGCAATGGGTATGCTCATATTTGCTCCGATTGCTCTACTCTCGTGGTTCCCTTTCATCTCCACGTTCCAGTCCCGTCTCCTCTTCAATCAAGCCTTCAGTCGTGGACTCGAGATCTCCATTATCCTCGCCGGAAACAGAGCTAACGTTGAGACCTGATGAGATGTTAGTGTGGAAGTAGAAGAGACTTGAGTTATTATTATTATTAGACCATTTTGTTTGTTGAGATGTAAATGAGCTTTGTAGAGTTTTTAGAACTGTCATTGAAAAAGCTCATCGACTTGGATGTTTATCTGTTTGTAATATTATTCTTGTTTTGTCTCTGTTTTTCCCCCATCAATCTCTATTTATATAACTTTGTTACTTTTATCTCACTGTTTCTGAGAAAGTTCAAGTAAATTTGATAACTTGATTTTTGAGCTTTTTGGTTGTAGAAAATGTTAGATATTTTCGAACTTGAAAATAATTATCTATATGTATAGTGGCGAATGGGTGTATAATGCTCGTGAGGTATTACTTTAATTTGTGCCAATGGGTTTGTTTTACTTGCTTGACTCAAACGGTACTTGAAGTCATTAACCGAATATACTTATATTCTAATTTTCTAGGGAACAACAGTCATCGTTATTGATATAGTATCACTTTGGAGAAGAATCCGGTTGCTTGTAAGACGTACGCAAAAATGACAGATAAATATCAGTCTCTTAAAAATAATTATTTCATGTGGAATTATGTAGTGTGCGGAGTCGCGAATTAAAAACATACTTATGTCATGAAAACAACATACTTCTGTCATGAAATTCTGCCTAATGGTTTTAGGTCAAAAAATAATTAGGTTTAGGTTGTTGAATTACGATCATTTATTTTTAGTATTTGATTAAGATAATTAATTTTGCTTTTTGTAACTGAGAAGTTTAACATTTGTAAATATGAGCAATTGGGGAGCTGTACGACCGCATTCCCCAATTCTCATTATCTTTGATTTCTCGTTTTGTTAATTTAAAAGCGGACTGTTTAATCTGTTCTTGGCCTGTTTGATCTGTTCTTGCACTGTTTGTTCTTAATAGCTAGTTTATGAAGATTCAATGTTGCTTTATTGTCTAATGATACAGACCCAGACATTTTCCGCAGTGATGCCTCTCATCTTCAAGCTCAACTTCCTTTCATCGCTGACACCAAGATTTGTATGATTCTAGTCTCTCTCTCATTCCTTTCTATGATTTGGTTGCACTTTGATTTCGGTGTGCTTCTGGTAATATTGATATCCAAGCAGGGGTCTTGATGCAGTTTGATCCCTAAAATCATCGTATCTATTGAGTTCTTATCCCTAAAAATCATCGTATCTATTGAGTTCTTAGTATGTGCAAATGTTAAGAATGTTCATATTCTCTGTTTAATTTGGAATTCATTGAATTTAATTGAGTTCTTAGGAGGATATGTAATGTCAAGAATGTAGTCTTGAGGAAGATTCATTGTGGCTTATTTGTTTCTTTTTTTTTTGTTTTCTCTCCAGGGAGTGCCTTACGTGGTTGTACCTTCGGAACTAGATTTGGCAAGAGCATGTGGTTTAGAGAGACCTGTGATCGCTTGTGCATTAATTTTAAAGGAGGCGAGCGAGTTGCTACCCAAGATTCATTCGCTAAGAAAAATATTAAGTTTCAGTGTCTGGTTTAGTTTAAGATCTCTAGTTGCGTAATTATAGTTTCTGCTGTTGCTTTGACATTTGCTTATCTCGTTTTGCTTCTTATTTTTTAGTTTATTTTCAGGTTTCGGTTACTTATATCTTGTAGTTTCCTTGTCTTAACCAAGCTAAAACTAAGCCAACCAAAGAGGGTACTGCTGCTTAAAACCCTCTTTGGTTATCTTATATGATTTGGTCTCTGCATTTCACTGTATGTTGGAACTTTCCAAACAGCTGAGAGATTGTAGTGGGTCATGTGTTCTTTACACAGTTGTGTCATATTGGTTATACTTTCACGTTTAAATTCAATCGAAAACCGTTGAAAAGTTGTTAACATCTCAAATCAGTCGATTAATTAATTAATCCATCGACCATAGGGCGACATTAGGGTTAAAAAAAGTAGAGATAGAGAGTGGAGAGGTTGACATAAAAAAAGTCAAAATGCTACTTCACATATCATCACCAAACTCGTGGTGAAAAGAAGAAACACACAATAATAACACACAGAGAATCTCATAGGGGCTTCTTTGGCACAAACAAAGTGTTAGAAATATAGATGCAGAACAATCAATACAAAGAGAAGATGTTGTTTTATAAGATAGAGATGTTATACAAATACAAAGTATGTGTAATACAAAAGACGAACTTGATGGTTACTCTCTCGATCAAGACGCGGTGACTCGTAAGACGATACATGCTTGCATGTGGCAATTTTCTAAGACAGAATTTCGTCCCTACTATGGTGTAAGTAGTTGCGTGGATGTTTATCTTGCAGGATACAACTATCAAACTCCACACAAAACACCGTACGGAGTTCCTCGCAAACTCTACTTTGTGTTTCTCAGAAAGTGATTAAAAGAGATGGAGAAGATCAGAGTAATTGGGATCTCTCCCTTATCGTTAATCACAACCCAGAATCTCTTTATATAATGATTGAAAGGGTATGTTGATCAAACTTTCTCAACGGACGTGTCCGTATGTTATACACGTTTCCAAACCAACACATATGTTGAGAAGAAGATATGTGTCCTTTAATTATATGTTAATTATTTAGTTAAACACTATTAACTAACTCAGATAAAACTCCAACAATACCCCATATTTTCTATTCAAACTCAATAATACCCCACATTTGAATAGAAAATAAGTTTCAATAACTTTCTAAGAAAATAGAATCAATA